TTTTGATACAATTTAACTGCTTCCTTAGTATCTATTTCTATTCCAATTCCATGCTGATAGCAAACACCAAGGTTATTCTGTGCATTAGCATGCCCTTGTTTAGCTGCTTTTTGATACAATTCAACTGCTTTCTTAGTATCTATTTCTACTCCAATTCCATGTTGATAACAAACACCAAGGTTATTCTGTGCATTCACATGCCCTTGTTCAGTTGCTCTTTGATACAGTTCAACAGCCTTCTTAAAATTTTTTTCTACTCCAATTCCATTATAATAACAATAACCAAGGTTATTCTGAGCATTAGCATGTCCTTGTTCAGCTGCTTTTTGATGCAGTTCAACTGCCTTCTTAGCATCTTTTTCTACTCCATTTCCATATTTATAACAAACACCAAGGCTATCCTGTGCCTTAGCATGTCCTTGTTTAGCTGCTTTTTGATACAATTCAACTGCCTTCTTGGCATCTCTTTCTACCTCAATTCCATATTGATAGCAAACACCAAGGTTATACTGTGCATCAGCATGTCCCTGTTTAGTTGCTTTTTGATACAATTCAATTGCCTTTGTGACATCTTTTTCTACCCCAACTTCATGATAATAACAATAACCTAGGTTATTCTGAGCATTAGCATGTCCTTGTTCAGCTGCTTTTTGATGCAGTTCAACTGTCTTCTTAGTATCTTTTTCTACTCCAATTCCATATTTATAGCAAACACCAAGGTTATCCTGTGCCTTAGCATGTCCTTGTTCAGCTGCTTTTTGATACAATTCAACTGCCTTTCTAGTATCTTTTCCTATTCCAAATCCATAATAATAGCAATCACCAAGGTTATTCTGAGCACTAGTATGCTTTCGTTTAGCTGCTCTTTGATACAATTTAACTGCCTTCTTAGTATCTTTTTCTACTCCAATTCCTTGCTGATAGCAAACACCAAGGTTGTTCTGTGCATTAGTATGCTCTTGTTCAGCTGCTTTTTGATACAATTTAACTGCTTCCTTAGTATCTATTTCTACTCCAATTCCATGCTGATAGCAAACACCAAGGTTATTCTGTGCATTAGCATGCCCTTGTTTAGCTGCTTTTTGATACAGCCCAACAGCCTTTTTAACATCTTTTTTTATTCCAATTCCATGTCGATAGCAAACACCAAGGTTATTCTGAGCATTAGCATACCCTTGTTTGGCTGCCTTTTGATAGAGTTCAATTGCTTTCTTAGCATCTTTTTCCACTCCAATTCCATGCTGATAGCAAACACCAAGGTTATTCTGTGCAATAACATGTTCTTGTTCAGCTGCTTTTTGATACAGTTCAATTGTCTTTTCAGCATCTTTTGCTACACCAATTCCATATTGATAACAAATACCAAGATTATTCTGTGCATTGGCATGCCCTTGTTCAGCTGCTTTATGATACAGTTCAACTGCCTTCTTAACATCTTTTTCCACTTCAATTCCATTTTGATAATAATAACCAAGACTATTTTGTGCAAAAGCATTATTTCTTTCTGCTGACAATGTATACCAGTAGATTGTTTGCTCAAGATTCTTTTCAGTTGATATTCCATATGCATAGAAAAGCCCAGTCAACCAAAAACATTGTCCACAATCAATATGATCCTTGAGTCTTTTGACAGGAGGATAATGCTGTTGGTACCATCCATAATGTACTAACCATTTTTTAATTAAGTCAGCAATCTGGTCTTGGTTTTTTCCTTTTAATAATTCTTCATAATATTTAATTGACAGCACATCAGAAAATGGATGTTCTGAAGGCATTATAAGTTGAGATATCATGCCTAATCTATCAAAAATCTGCTCACAAGATGGTCTTTTCTCAGCCATATCATTCCAGCATGCTGAATATAACATAACATATGCTTCAGGGGTTCCTGAAACTGGAGCATCTCGATTATGATCTAACCTATAGCTCACAATATCATTATAATTCTGGAGTCCATCACATGGTCTCTTCCCGCCAGAGATTTCCCATAGTACCACCCCAAAACTAAATATATCCGACTTTTCATCCCACTTAGCAGAAGCATCATATAAGCATCTAGGGTCAAGATATGGAAAAATTTCTTGAAAGCCTGAGCTTTTCTGTTGTATGATCTGATCTGAAAAGCCAAAGTTTGTTATCTTCGCCACACCAGCATGAATAAGAATATTTTGAGAAGACTAACAAAATTGAAAATTGGAGTTAGCTAAACAGTATAATAATATAAAACTAGTGTATTACAACAACGTAGTTACCAGATTTTTGTGTAAAATATCAAGTCCGTGGAGATATCGTAATCCATCAATTATATTGATACCAAGCTTGCATCTCGCAAGCCAGTTCAATTCAACCGATGCTTCTGATAGATAGTGTCGTAATGAACCGCCATCCGCATATTCAAAGACCACGGCATATCTACTTAGCGGATCTTTTGATTCAAATGGACAGAATAATTTATTAATATCATATTCAATTTACACCGTAACCTGATTCACCCAATGCTTGCCTTCACTCAATCCGAGGAACCGAATGATGTTAGGATGGTCATCGACCTTGCGAAGAATCTTAAGCTGAAAGTATAGTTGTGTAGTCTAAGTAAACAAGAATATGGATGTGACATTCATCATAATACCAACCTGTTTCACCACATTTTCGAACATCTCATCTTCATTTTCTGAATGAAGAGGCTTGTATGTGATCATTCTACCAAGTGTCTTGACTTTCGCTTTGAAAACTGCTCCATATCTTCCGATACCGATGCACAGTGACTCAATAAAATCAGAGTAAGCATAAAACTGGATGCTTCCATCTTCGATACTTTTCTTTAACCATTCTTTATCAGAGTGACGTGAGGCCATGTTTTGTTGCGTCCGCCTAGTTGTAATGATTCGTAAAAGTCTTTTACAGTCTGACGGAGTAGTGCGATTAATGGCATGTGTGCGCTGGTTGTGTAGATCTAACTTAATGTGAATAGCAATTATTATTATCTCATGGTGCTTTCACCATTCTTATTGTGGTTGGAAAAAAACGGAGAACGTTAACAATGGGTTAAATAATTTTTAAACCTAAGTATGTATTTTTGAGGGCTTCCCCCTTTGAAGGGCAAACCCACGCTAAGCCGAAAAAATTGCATTAATATTAATACTAAGCTGATTTCCCAAATTTTTATATAGCATAATCCATTTTCATCGCCATCACTTGGACATGCGACTAAGTTCTTTTGATACTTATTCGCCATTCGAGTCGTTCGATCCTATTAAAGTTTCGCATTACTTCATGTATATAGATCTTTGCGGGTAATCTTATCTATATACCTTTATGAGCTCACCCACTCGTTTCTGAGAGAGCCTATTTTTTTATAGTCGAACAGCCTCCTGTCACTCCTCCAGCATATTTTTCCCCACCTTTGTCATAATGACGATGAAACGTAAAACGAGTCATTCTTTCTTAAGGCACATAATAAATAATATCATCATAAAGCACAAGAAATACTGTAGTGACTAGAGTTTGTATACACCCTTTCGTCATATGGTTATCGCGATAGACTAAAAACAAATAATAGCCATTTAAACCAAGAAAAATATGCCTATGCTCAATCTTTTCCCATGTTCTATTTATCCTATCAAACATCAGGTGATCATCATTTCTATACATTTAGACTAAATTCAGATAAGCCTAAAATATTTAAATTTTTAACCAGCTAAAATTAATGTACTAGTACCTTTTGCAGTTCTGACAATAACATACAATATTAATGCGAGTATTATGAACGTTAATATCAGATTGAGTTATTCGAATCTAGTAGATGCCACCCAAGATAAATCAGTTTGAACGTCATCATATTACGCAAAAAATAAGTCACCCCATTTCTGTTAAATGGAAAAAGCTTTGACGCAAATAATAACATCAAGGCAGAAGAGCTGATGCTTTCCCAAAACGATTACTTTATTTCTGTTAGCTTCACATAGTAATAGCATACTTTTCGCATGAAGTTAATGTTTACGATTGATCTACATAAACAAGTACTATATTTGAATTAGCTCGTGATGAAAATAAAACAATCTTGTTATTATTATATTTTATTCCCTGTATAAACTTGTATTATCTCGATGGCAGATCTTGCATTACATTTCACCATTAGCCTGACATGTCTTCAATTTCCTTTTTTATTATATCATTGAGTAACATACCTATTCGCGTTACTTTTCAGCCACCCCACGTATATGGACCGAGACAACTGAGTTCTGGACTGAGGATTATTACGCAAAAAAGGTCATTAAATTGCTTATTTGAGTCAATAAGTGTCCCCATCAGAAAATCAACCATGGTAATTATAATTTGCGTGGGTAATTGATTGACATAGCTTAGGATGACATAAAACAATCGAATGCGAAATTATATTACATCAATGTCTTGTTGCTAGACTATATAATAAGTGGCAGTTAACTCCGGAACGAATACCTTCGTTAACCATCAACATCACTTATACGAAGTCATTATTAACTTGAAGAAAAAAGCACCAACACAATTCGACGAGGACGCATCTTATCCGTGAACATTAATATAAAATTAGATTCCTCTCTCCATTACGTAAAAAATTGCGTAGTGCAGACCGATACCCGATTCCGTTTGCTGGAGAAGAAATGACACCAAGAGAAATACTTTACAGAAACTTGCATGTAAACAGTTTGTGGGAAAAATACGAGCGGTATTAATGGTTCGAGAGCGATATTTTATGTTCACATCGTAAGAATATCTCAGGACTTGCAGGTAAAACTTGTCAGAAAAAGGGTCGAAGCTAATAATCACAAGAGAGTTGGAAATCAGTGAACGTCAATTGTACTGTAAACTTCATCATTTCAATCCGTATCCAAGCAGGACCAAAATCGAAGGACTAAAAGAGATTTATCGAAAATGATGAAAGTAAAAGCGGTTTTTAATTTACCCTCGCTCTATACAAACCGAAGCAGACAATCTGCTGGAAAAAAAATTCGAAGAACCTATCACCTCTCGACTCGTAACCCCTTCACCCTCTCGCATCGAACCCATATCACCATCATTTCCGGCCATTCCCGCTTCCGATATACCTCTCCTTCCATTCCGGTTGAATCTACACCACGGCCCAATGAAAAAAAAAACACCATCAAGAAGACAATCATTGCGCATCGTGTTTTTAAACCCTACCTCTTTCAATTATAATTTCTCGTCGCTTTTCCGGCATAAATAGTATATAGGTGCCACGGGTTTTATAATTTGCCAATTTTTCTCACGTTCTATATGAACCTCCGCAATATTTGTTGTATTCCTACAGCACCTGATGTTGACGACACACCAATCTTTATCCACGCCAGAGATGTGTGCAAAACGATAAGACAATTTATATAATCGTAAAACGTCGAATTGCTTATACCTTTTGCAGGGAGCTCATAAATTTCATGCTCTTTTAAAGAGATAGCGAACCTTTAATTTCACTTTAATAGTCGATATTGATAACTCTTAGAACAGTCTGTAAATACATCCAAACTACCAACACTGCCGCCACAGCAACGACTACCCTGCAGCTCAGCTAAGCTCCTCCTCAATTTGGAGTTAGCGTTACTGTTATCACAAGCGAGAATATGGGCAAAAATTTATCAACTGATCCAATATGAGAAAACCCGGCTCAATATTGTGATTTAGAATGTCAGACCTGTGGTCATGTGCATTGAGCGACTAGTGATACTAAGTTAGAGTTAACAGCTCGGTGAAGTTTTATGTCGCAAACACTACAATAAAATAAAAAAAAAAGCAATTTATCTACATTTATAGTTCCATACATGTCATTATGTTTGTCTCCCAGGGAGGCATTAGCGGTGTTGTTTATTTACATTGTATGCACTGAACCGTAAATTGTTTCTTATCGTGAAGACATTCTTTTACATTGCTACACAATACAGTATTTGCAATTGTCGTCTATTATAAAGACCTTTACATTTCTTTATTCAATTGTCACTTCAATTCAGATTTTACGTCGTTGTAATTGCTTAAACTGACTGCAATTACATGAAGACGAATGTAGCATATGGATTAACTTCTAGAAAACAACTTCACAAGATATAAAAGGAAGAATAGACAAAGTCTTACTTTCGAGCTTGACATCGATACTCAAGTGAGTGCGGTACTTGGTATATACTAATACCATTTACTATATAAAGAATACTTCTTGCTTTACGTATTGTATTCGTTGAGAATAGGTACTAGAACTGGTGCTTATATAGTTGTTCTACCTCACATGCGTTAACCATTGCATAACATAATGAATAGTATACGACCGTAATTCAAATTTCATCTTCATAATGACTGGCGAAGAGACATGATTTCATCGTTTAATAATAATGTTACGTACGCGTGGTAATGAGGACAGTACAAATGGAAACGTCGCTTATCAAAAACGTTCGCGTTAATAAGATAGGGCATATGGGTCATAAGGACGAACAAATTGCCCATAATCTATCATTTTCACACCAGTTGGAAATGTTTCAACTTTCAAGTCGCGTTCCATGATATCTAACTTTTCTTCTGAATATAAACAAACCCAATAAAGACGTACGGTTGACTTAAAATAGAGTTAAAGTTAGAATAATTGAATACATATGCCCACTCGGTCATGAATAAATAAACCATACTTACAAAAACATCATCACTGATGCCACTGATAACAAAGTTTATAATAATGTCATCTTTAGACAAAACGTTAACCACGCACGGTAAAATGTATTCAGCATAGTCCTTATATATAATGTCTGTCTCATATTGTATTTCTTCAGTTGATATTTTTATTGTTGTCTACAAAACCAAATGTTTATACTAAATGTTTATACTCATTATACAATTAAGTTTAAACAATACTTATTTCGATACTTACCATCATTGTAATTGTTGTCTTCTTATAATTCCACAACAAAATGCTGAGTTTGTATTTATTTGGAGGTGCTTGGAATATGGGTATTGTTACCTAATATACAATCGTTTATTAATTAATATCCACAACATTGTACAAAGCGTTAGACTATCTATATTATATTGATAATTAACCACTTACTTTGTTAGGTCTATTAAGGTACAAATATTCTCTATATAAAGCACTATTAAATGATAAACATTAGTAATAATATTTTTATAACAAATGGTTATTATAAATTACATACCTCTCACATCCACTGCTATCTTCGATGTGACTTTCAAATGCAAAATGTGCTTTCAGATGTCCTATTAATATAATAATAATAAATATAAAGTAATTTAGTATGCATGATAATATATAAATTTATGCAATCAAGTGTAACCACTTACTTTTGTGCATATAGTATACTTTTTCATAGAACGCGTTTGTATACTTGTAATTATTTGGATCATAGTTATATGTTTTATGCCAAATTACAGCAGTGTTGTACCATCTGGTGTAATCATCTGTTCCATACTGTTGGTTACACCATTGATTGATGTCAAACTTATACATTAACATTGCTTGATGAGGACAACTATCCACAAGAACTTTAAACCATTCCATATCAAAGTGTTCAAGTTTGTTTACATATTCATCAATTACATGAAATGCCTTATCTTGCCAACCTGGATGACTAATATGTCCAATATCTTGTTCAGCTCCTTTCTTATTCTCCAAACCTATATGTGCCACTAAACTTAAATACCAAGCATCAGCATAACATTTGTTTACTCCAATTGCTGTCTCAATATCAAACAGGGCTTTTCCGAAATTTTTCATATCCAACTTGATTTTTGCACTATTACACAATGCTTGATAATTTCTGGGACCAGCTTGCAGTATTTGTGAATAGCTGTTCAAAGCATTTTCCAACTCCTTATTTTTATATGCAGATTTAGCTTTTTGAAACAATTTGTTTATACTTGGTGCTGCTAATGATTTCCAACCATACTTTCTTGTTCTGTTCTTTCTTTTTTGTTTTTTGAGGTCATCATACTCATCAAATATTTTGGCATTTAAAGCATCAACATTATGAATGTCTTGATAATCTGTATCTGTTATAGTAAAATATTGTTGAACATTGTTGTATATAGTTTGTTGTGGCAAATAATACACCTTATTCTTTCTAATTTCACTTCTGCAATAAGGGCACTCCAAGTTGTTTAATGATAAAAGAGCCTTTGAGCTAATAATATATTGACAATTAAGCTGATAAAAGTCACCAACTGCTTCATGAACAATAGGACATGTTAAATCTTCTGCAATATAGTCAATTGGGTTTCTCTCAATACATTTTCCTTTCCCTTTGTCTTGTTGTTGCCCACTTTGAGCATTTATCATTATTTGGTCTGGTGAATATTTTAGAATCATTTTAGATTCAACTTCTAATTTCTTTTTCAGGTAATAGTATATGCTGACCAATCTTGGCTTATACTTCTCATCACAACCAGAAATATCATCAGGTGTTGTAACAAAAAATTCACTATTTTTAACTTCAAGACTCAATAACACTTCAATTGACTTAAACTGGATAAATTCTGTGACTGCATTGTTCAATGAATCCAATGCTATATAATAACATATAGCTTGTGTAGTTGTAGAAGATGTTTTATGGATAAGTTGCTGGACAATATCCAAAATGCCAAACCAGAGTTTGTCACTAACATCTTGATTTTTTGCAGCATTCTCAGCATAGCATAAACCAATATGATACCAGAGGTACTCAAGAAGCACTCTTTCTCTAAAGCTCATTGAAATGGCAGACTCTTGTTCACACCATTTGCCAAGACTATCTTGTAATATAATAAGCTGTTTCCAGGTTGTATACCAAGGCTTGCCTGAAGGTACAACATAAAAGGCTTCTTTAAAATACTTCCAGGATCTCTCTATGTCAAAATCACCAAGAGGAACTTCAACTCCTGTAATTAATTTAATTCCAACTTTAGCTAATCCAGGAACAGCAACAAGTAAACCTTTTAATGCTGCAATGGCTCGACCAACATTTGCCTGATACTGGTTTTCCTCACTACAAGCAGTATTTAATATATTCTTAATGAGTTTTAGAAGGTATCTACTATTGTAATTGCATTTAAAACTTTTGATAGTTTTATCCGATTCATTAGATTCTGCATGTTTAGCCTTCCGAGTTTCTCCTTCATGCTGTATAATTACTGAATATGCATTCTTGTATTTGGAAGTGGCTTGCCTAATACCATTGAGAAAAGAACCTGCAAATTGGCACTCATTCCGATGCATTTGCTCAAGTATAGCTACAATAATTCGTAATTGCCATTCCAATTTAATAGCTGTTTCCCCTGAAAACACATCATCAAACTCTTGAGCGCATAGACTCTTCAAAGCTGTATTTAACACCTCTACTGCCACAAAATCTCCTTTATGTTCGAGAATGTATTTGAGTGCGTAAATATTCTCTGAATATTTCAAGTCCGTTAACAACCCCTTTATTTGTTCATCTGCTGACATAAGCCCTTGTTCCATTAATCGAAGTACAATTTTCGGAAAACTGCCTTGAGCCACAGTGTTGCTCGGCGTTGATGCAGAAGATGTCATAAAGGGAGTACTAGAAGCACTCTCTGTGGGGAATGTGTCTGCTGCATAGCTGGTTGTTGATCCAGAACTCATCGAGTCAGTCGTAAAGGGAATTGAGCCATCGGGTTTCTACAAAGTAGACATGTTATATGTAATAATTAATAAAGAGCAAGTAGAGTATTTCGCAAGACGCATTTGTTTCCTAATACCTCATAGGCCATTGTGCAAGTAATCACTTTGTCGCTAACTCTTCAATTGACATACCTTCGGCGATTTCTATTGTTTATATTCTCAATTGTAATTGGCTGTGTTATGTTATTTGCATGGTGTAACAGCACATAAGGCACATTTTCATCGGGACATGCTACTAAATAAACTTCTTGATACTTATTCGCCATTCGATTCCTAATTAATTTTTCGCATTAACCGTCAAATACACATTTACAGTAATATTTCATGTCATGTAGATCTTCGCGGGATCTTATCTATATACCTTTATGAACCCGCCCACCCACCTCTGAGGGAGCCTACTTTTTTATAGTCGAACAGTCTCCCATCACTCCTAACGTAAACGAGTCATTCTTTCTTAAGGCACATAATAAATAATGTCATCATAAAGACTGTAGAGTTTATATACACCCTTTCGTCATATAGTTATCTGATAGACTAAATCTACAAATAACAAT